CGCACAGGTTGGGCCTCCTCCGGGTACTGTCGACCGGACAATGCCGGCTGGCGGCTCCCTGAGGGAGGGCCCTCTCTGTAGGTGCACCGGCCTTGTGGAATGAGCTACCCACTGAGATCTGGACCCTTACCACTCTCCCGGCCTTCCATAAAGCGACCAAGATCTGGCTGTTCCGGCAGGCCTGGGGCTGTTGATTAACATCCAGCCCCACTTGATTGAATGGATGATGCATTAATTTTAATAATTGTATTTTTTTAAATTTTTAAATGTTTTTACTTTTGCTGTGAGCCGCCCAGAGTCCCAAGGGAGTGGGCGGCATACAAGTCTTATTAAAGTTGAAAGTTGAAAGTTTATGTCTATGCAAGCAAAAACTGGCAAAATTAAAGAAGTACTTAACACTTCTTAAAGGTTTTACATAGAATATTCTCCATAAAATATTTCTTAGAAAAGCAAATGTGAAATTCTAAAGTGAATGCGAAGACATCTCCCCAGTCAGGGCAAGAGATGGGAATAGAGCCCATTGGCATGCGAAAACACATCAATAAGTAATCCTTACTTTGGAAAGTGCTTTGCTCAAGCCTTCCTTTGCACTCTCCAGTACATCTTTTTCCAGCATGGCTTGGTTCAAAGATTCCTTCACATTCACTAGCTCTTTCTTCAGGACTGACATTTTTTCCTCAAGTTGCTCCAGAGACCTTTGCCTACGGATAGAGAAAAGTCTAATTAGACTTTGCAGTTTAACTAACCATAGCAGATTATGCTGAACACATTGTTGATACTTCCTGAATGTGTGGGGGGTACCATGTTTGTACTCTGAATCTGAGTTGGAGAATATGTTTATTGACTTGTATGGTAGTTTCTGGATTAGAGATCCTAACTTGCATAAAACAGGATGAAAATGGCTGCGAGGAGACTGGACTTTGGCATTTTGGCCAAAAGATGCCAAAACGTATTTGTACTGTCCTTACATTTAGCAAGGAATACCGATGTAGTCATGAGATTGCAATAATGAGAATGGAAAGATCTGTTAGAACAGTATTTCTCAACCTTGGCAACTTGAAGATGACTGGACTTCAACTCCCAGCGAATGCTGGCTGGGGAATTCTGGGAGTTGAAGTCCAGACATCTTCAAGTTGCCAAGGTTGAGAAACACTGTGTTAGAACACCCACTCCAGCATTCTATTTTAAATCCCAGGCAACCATGACTCTGGAAAGGATTCCGATCAGACACAAGGACAAATCGAAATTCTTATTGTTTTTCTCCAGTAACAACTATTAAAGTTCTACCATCTCTGATTGTGGAATAACAATTAACTGTAGTCATATCTAAGGTTATTGTTGACTGTGTTCTCCATAAATATCTACATTTTTAAATAATCTAAAATGATTGTCTTCATATATTGCAGCATCCAATTCCACAATTGTTGCATAAATAAGTGCTTTCTTTGCCTACCGTATCTCCAATTTTTCTAACTTTACTTATTTTTAAAAAAATCCAAATTAAGTACCCCTGAAATGTAGCAATTTGATGGGACTTTAAAGAGTCTGGGGCTTCCCCTGAGTGAAAAGGATCTGTTCTTCACAGATTATTTTTCCACCCACATAATGGAATGTCTCAGCTGTCTTTTAGTAACTGCTGCCCACCAATATCTTCTAGGCCTATTCCTCTTTCAATGCACAGTCCTAGAGACATAACTGCAGCATCTCACCCCCTTTCCAATTCCTTCCTTGTCCTCTCCCTTTCCTTAGTCGCATCTTCTTTTTGCTCTTCAAGGAGTTTTCGCTGTTTCTGTAGCTCTCCATTCATCGATTTCAGGCGCTCTACCTCCAGATGGGAAGTATCAAGTTGTTGAGCCTGGCTTTCGACTGCTATCTCCAAGGCCTCCTTCTCTCTGAGAAATGAAGAGAAAATATGAACAATTTTGGGCCAAGATCATTCAGACATGGGCAAGCTTGTCAGGGTGGAACTATCATTGTATACAGTGGTGGGTTTCAATTTATTTTACTACTGGTTCACTTGTGCATGCATAGAAGTATCTGGGCAGGTGGACAGAACCTCCAACCGCCGCCACTACCAGTTCGCCCAATCTGGGGTGAACTGGCAGAAACCCACCTCTGATTGTACACTTCTAAAGACCAGTTGCTTCTTTGCAAAATAGGGCTTGGATGAATAATTTATTTTCTATCAGAAAATGTAGAAGAAACAGATTTACCACCACCCCTCATCAAAATCCTTCCTTTCCAACTACCTACCCCTATGCTTTTTGTCCAGTTATAAATGCCATACATTTGAAATATTTGTTGGAAGAAAAGTGTGGGACAAACTGGAAGGGGAAATCACTGGGTGATGAGAAGATTCTGCAAGTTTTTACTGTCTTCACTAGAAATCAAGTCTTGTCAGCCCACTTTTCAAAGAAGCATTGCTTGGCTTTCACTACCTGCTTTAAAGAGAGAGGCTGTGTTATCTCTGTTCAATTTCTAGTGTTTATAATGCTACAGGAAGTGGGAAGGAAGGAGCAAAACGGGCTCAGAGGCATCCCAGTTATAGATGAAACCAGCACAGCTGATTTTCACAATATTCCCTAACCAAGGGAAATGTTGAGGATCACTCTTCTATCATGACAGTAGGAGAATGGAAATGCATTTTTTCTGCAAACACTCTTGTACATATTTATTACTCAAAAGCTGTTATATTTATCTCTTCTGTTTTTGAACTACTGTTTCTAATAACTCTTTAGAACTTTTTTTGAAGTTCAAAGCATATCAAAAGCAGGCAAGCTTTCAGATGAGAATTCAAACTATTTTTCACCATCATATGACTGAAATGGAAAGAATTAAAGACCATTTATTTAAACTTCAATTAAAAGCAGAATTATGACACATTGCAATCTAAATTCAAATGGATTGTAACAGGAGAGTACACTACATGTTAAGGGAAGGTAGATCTTAAAAAAAAAATCTGCTTTGCTTATCTATTTTGACTGGATAGTTTTTGTAAGGATTTTTGTAAAACTCTACAAAAATATTAATTTCACTGGCTGGGAGTGAACAAGAATTACATTTACTTTTTAAACTATAGTATCTGAGCCAGAGATCTCTTCTGGCTTTGCTTAAGTTAAAAAACAACAACACCCTATAGCATCACCTGGCTAATTGCAGATAGGGATCTCTATGCTATCACTGCTAACTGCAACTATCATGTGACACCACCTTATCATATAGTGATTCCAGGAAATGCTGGGGAAGGGAAGACATTTTTCTGCAAAGATCTTAGCATCACTCTAAGGCAGGGGTGTCAAACTGGCAGCCCGTGGGCCAGATGTGTCATGTGCAGGCCACACCCGTCCCAGCTCCACAAACGGAAAATGTCGTGAAACATCACATGATGACAGCGTGATGTGGTGAGTTTGACACCCATGCTCTAAGGCCTCCATGAATTTTGTAAGTTAATGATGTAACGTGGGAGAAATAAATTCTTCCACCATCTTGTGTATGTAAAACTAGCTGGATACCCGTGCTTCGCTACAAAACTATGCGATCGGGCTTGATAAATTTACATGTAAAGCCTGCAGGCTGGATGAGTCACGCACTGCTCACGCCCATCCCCGGTCTAGCGAGGGTGGGGGGCGAGTAGAATATCTAACTCCTTAGCATCCGCACATGTTAATATAATACATATAAAGAATACTGATGATCTGATGATCATTTTGAAAAATTCTCTCTTAGCAAGCACCTAGAAGCTAAGAGGAACATACGTGCCAAATTTCAAGTTTGTAGGATTTACTCTTCTGGAGATTTCGTGATGAGTAAGTGGTAGTTGGCTTTTATATAGATAGATAGATAGATAGATATTGCTCACGGGGAACAATTTAAGCCATTAATATTAACCTTTAAAAGTTCTAGGTGTGCTTTTACCATTATTTTCCTATCTTAACAGTAGAGAGCTGCAGTAAAGGCCTTTTTAAAGATGTATCCTACTGATACCCACAAGAGGGTATTTTGCATTGCTGTCTGGCTATAAAATGCATTTGCAGGGAAGTTGCATCTGTCCACTATGCCTGCATTTAGAGGATCTGTAAATATCTTCTTTATATGTTACTGGATACCTTTCCTTGCCAAATGACTTTCTATGAACTAATTAATTGTATATGTATACTTTTATAAACATCAAATCTAAATACCACTATAATATTGCTGAGGTCGTGTGCAGAGATATTAGATAACCTTTGGCAACAACAAATGCTGATGTATGTTTTTCCCAAAGCCAGCATTTAATCATCACTTTAATCATCACTGTTCACATCTTTGGCTGATGATCACAATAGAAAGCAGTGTTAAAGAGTAAAATGATATCATCAGAACAGAAGAATCTTCCATGTAAATATCATGGAAAAAATCAATAGTATACTTTTCTTTATCCTCCCAAGAGTAAGTACCCAACTCAATCATTAAAATTATGCCCCAGACAGACATAAGGGGCTGCTTTATACTGGGTCAAAAAACAACTCTATCTAACTCAGAACCAGGCAGTATTTTTGTGACCAGGAGCTGCAGCATTTTAACAACCTACAGTATGTTTTCAGGAAGAAGAGGCTACAGGGACATAAAATCGATGTGAAGCTGTCATCAGGAGGGAAATACCAATATTTTTGACCTTTCCCCCCACAACTGGAGGTTTTTTTTTACTGTAAAAAAATATCATACCTTTTACTTTGCAAAAAGAGAAATATATATACCAGCATGCAACCCACCAAATAGAGCTGTTGCGTGGTAGCTTATCACAGATTTTGGCAATGAAATCGGAGTTGAAAGTTGAAATCGGACTTGAAATCAGAGTTGCAAAAAAGCATTCTGGTGGAGCAGCATATGCCTCATTTTGATTTAGTACAATATTGTTTATATTTAACGATTGGCAACAACTCTCCAGCAGAGAGTTTTCCAATCCTGTTTGGAAATGCTAATTTGGAATTTTTTGTGCGCAAATAGATACTCTGTTACTGTGCCAAAATCTTTCCCCAGAAGTTATGGGAATCTGCATAACAAGAAGAGTTTTTGTAAGTGACAAATCATTTTAAAAGTTCTATGATGCATCTTCTGAGGCCACAACTGGTGCAACTGCCAGAAGAACTGAGTCAAAGCCATGCCCCTTGAGATCATTGCAGTAATAGGCCAAGCCTCTGTCCCCCCTCCCCAACCTTCACCTTTCTAGAACTTCCACTGAGGATTTCCAATGCTGTGCTTTCTGCCTGCAGTCCTCCAGGGCCCTTGTCAGCTCTTCACATTCCTGCTTCTGTTCCTGCAGCTGTTGATCAGCTGCCTTCATTTCCTGCTGGCAGTCGGCAAGCTGCTTCTTGACAGATCCCAGGATATCTCTGCAGGATTCCAACTGCACATGCAATTCCTGTTCATAGAGATCAAACAGGAAGTTCTTTCCACTCAAATGCCACAAAGCAAACACAAGGGGAGAGAAAACCTCTCCACATTAAACAGATAAACCAAGGGCTCCAATCAATATGTTCATCCATCCTAATGAGCCAAATCTTTAAAGCAATGGATCTGGGTTTTCCTAAAAGAAACGTTGAAAACAAATATTGAAACTTAAGCCTCAAAATCAGTCCTTTGGCCTTTCTGATGAGCTATATCTTCTCTCACTGACAATGTGCTAGATAATAATGGCTGTCGAAGGAGTTATAACAGCTATTTTTTTGCCATGTAAATAAAGGGATGGGAGAGGAATAGCTTTTATCCTCTTTCTTTCTTTAGGATCAATTGTATGTAGGAGTAAGGGTCAGGAGTAATAAGAATATTAATTCCCTTGGTAAAAATCTAGACTTTGGAGATGCACTTCCTCTCTTAGGAACTTTGCATTCCACTGAAACAGAGAAGCAAGTGAGTGAAAATACATATTAATAAAGAGATGACAAGTTCTATAAAATAGCATTTATCTTGAATGGAATGGATAATCTTTTGGGAAATTATAATTTCAAAGGAGGATGCTGAGGATGTAATAATGATAGAAAATGGGCTGGAATCTTCCTGCTTGTTTATACTTTGGGTATGTTCCCTCCCACAAATTGTGGAAAACTATTGTATGAAACACACACACACACCCTCCTCAGATTGAAATACTCTTTGTTCTTAATATTAAAAAGAGGCAGGATAGAATATTTCCCCAAAGAAGAAATGGGGAAATAAGTTCTTAAAGGCAGAAAGCAGCCCCAGTCTTTCTGCCATAGGCAAACAGCCTCAAGCAGAAGAGACTGGTCTTTTGAAATGGAGATTTGGTATCCATAAGAATGGGCCTATCTGTTCAGGAACAGCTGGAGCTGATGGAATTAAGGATTTATATTCCCCAACCCAAATTCTAAGCATAGAACATGACCTTCAGGACATAATATGATTAAACCCATCAACATTGATATAGTAAAAGATGCAAGGCTCACTACATTACACCCCCCCCCAGAGCATCTCAATCACCAAACTTCAGAACCCTATAAAAATCCATCCATTCACTCAGCCATTTTGTCAGCCACTTCAGAAATATGCTGCTGTCACTGGTGTTTCTGGAAAATCAAATAAACAGAGATCTTATTTCCTTGTAGCCAGTTTCCATTTTATGTCCAGCATTTTTTTCCCCTGGATTGGAACCAGACTGGATTTTTCTCCCTACACTATTCTTCTGATTTTTGGTAATTGTTGAAGTCTAGCTCCATGCTCAAAAGTGCCTCAAAAGTAGTTGGTGGCTGTATGCTGCTTATTGGAGTCATAGGTTGTTTCCTGATCTATAGCTTTCTCCTAGATATACAGAGCAATGAAATGAAAAACAGACATTATTCAAGTAGCTTTCAATATACGTGAAACATATAAGACAACAAATGGATGAGTGAGAGGTTTTCCAGAGTGTCTATGTGAATGGGAGTTGGGAATAAGTCTAAGGAGGAAAATTGAGAGTTTGCAAAAATGCTAAGGTAATTTATTATTCATAAATTTCCTTTCCCATCTAGTTGCTGATGGGTTCAATATGTAGTTTTATCCTTTTGGGTTTTCTTTTTATTAATGTTTACCACAAATCTCTTTGGTAGGCTACATTATGCTTAGAGCAATACCCAGGCTAAATTACCCAGAAACTTTACAGCCAAAATCTGAATTGTGATCTTCCAAATCTTAATCTAACACTCTTACTTCTATATCACAATGGAAAAAGTCTGAAATGGACGTGACAGTTCAAACAGAAAGGGAGAGGCTTTGTGTGTAATTAAGCCAATGTGGATAGTTTAAAGGTAGGAAACTTCCTATGTGTGGGAAGTGGGAAAAGATTTCACAGATATGGTAAAGACTGCTGAGTGTTTCCTCTATCCCTAAGGTGTTCTGCCTAGTCCATTTGCGCTTCTTTTTGGTTTCACCTGCCTAGAAGAAGAGCAGCTGGGGAGAACAGCTGTAAGTGCAGAAAGAGTTCAGCAATGATCTCTGGTCACCGTTTTACTACCTGAAATTATCTCCTGCAGCTGTTTACTACAGTCCACTGATATAAATCTGCAGCTGTAGATCTAATATATCTTTCCAGCATTTACAAAATCCACCTGGGATGGCAAGCATTCATGCGTGGATAGCAATAGCCACTAAAATGTGAAAATTGAAGTACAAACATCATGCTCCTTACTTTTTGGACAGAAAATAAACCAAACCAACTCAAAATATATTAAAATAAAGACCACTGCACACTAATAGAATATTTCTAATATCTGTTTAATTTACAAATAGGTTAGGGCAAAGTAAATGCCCCCCCAATTCTCTAGACAAAATAGGAAAGAATACTGACAACTTTTCTGTTGTGAGGGTCTGTGTGATACTTAGACATTGTTCAATATATTTTGTTTTTAATTTTACTATAAAAGGAGATAAGTTTTTGCTCTAAGTGATAATGTCTGTTTCCAAAGAATATTTTAGCTTCATTCATAAAGGTCAACCACTTGGCTATGTATAACAAAGCCACCACTTAGAATGATGGCCTAGGGGCTTTTATAGGAAAAAAGAAGAAATATGGACAACAGAATTATAAACATCTTCCCTTAAACTTTTGTTACAACTTCAAGATATCATCTCCAACTTCTCAATTTTATAAAAACAAAACTAAATCCTTGGACAAATATTTTAGTCCAAATACTATATACTATAAATCAATGTACATTGGAATTAATAAATGTTTCTGAATTTCTCACGTGAAAGTCTTTCTACTCCACTGCACTTACATCTTACTCTATATCCAGCACTGCAGATCGATTCCAAATTGTCTTAACTGCCTTTGCAGTAAATGTTACAAGGAATTGCATTTCAAAGTTGGCGGGAAATCACAACTGACTCATTCTCCATAAAAGTCACAACTCATCAATAAATATATTTAATATTATTTGAAATATATATGAAAAAATATGTATAAATGTGATCATATCTGGACCTATATCCCAAGGAGTTGTAACTCACAGGGTACAAAAGCTGGACTGTCTGCCTCCCTTATCTGGAATAACACTGCCTTAGAGGTCAGATGGGCCCACTTTTCCTGGCTTTTTGAAATGAATGAAAACATTTGAGAATTGATATGGAGGAGGAGTGTTGATTACTGGCTTTTTTCTCAGTGCATGAAGTAATAGTATATTGTACTATTTTGTTAAATTATGTTTTAATCTTATTATTGCATTTAGGTATGCTAGTTGCTCAGACTTGAATGACATGTAAGTAGATAAAAGCTTAATAAATAAAATAAAAGCACTAGTGTATCCAACCTGTTCACGCTGTTGTGACTTTTGGATAAGGGCTTGCACTGCTTGTATTGCTGCATTCTGGCAGGATGGAGAATGTATCCGGGACTGAGTTGTCCATTGGTGTTGAGGTGAGCTAAAGCCCAGGGGATAAGTGTGCCATACAGTGTCTTCTTCTGGTAAAGCTTTGGCATTATCTTTGGAAATAAGTCCTATGTTCTTTGATTCAGCAAGAGCCAACTAAAAGGAAAGTTGGGAAGAAGTAAATCCTAATCAAATGAATGTTATTGAAAAGATTCTGGCGCTTGGGTACTGCCTAGAATGTCAGAGTTGGGATTCCAGTGACTCTTAAGTTAAATTCAGATGGCATTGTGAAATACAACAAACATATTTAAAAGGCAGGCCCTAATTTATAATTTCATTTAACAATAAGAAATAAGGGTAGCGCATCTTAGGTGAAAGTGTATTGGGATGACAATTCCATTACTTTTCCAGTAATTTTGAACTATTGTTCTCTATGGTATAGCTTTATACAGCTGCAGTAAAATTATAACATATAGTACAAAACCTTCCCATGATGAAACTATATTGAAGTAGGTGGCCATTTGTTTTCAAATATTTGCCTCCTGACTGACATTTATTCAACATGTTGGGATCTCAGAGCAGTACTTCAGACCCCCCTGCTTTGCATTCAAGAGGACAGATGTTTGGATCCTTAATTTAGCTCAGCCCCAGAGTATTTTATTATGGTTAGCAAAGGAATATTGCTTGAGGTCGGAAACCCATCTGCAATGTGAGTTTGGGTCTGCTCATTGGATATTTAATAATGTTTCAAGGGCATTCTCTAAAGGGAGAAGTAGCCTCTGTTCATTCAATAATAACTTGTGTGAGACAAGGGAGTTATGTGACCTGTACAATCTGCGGCTATGGAAATTTGAGATTTAAAAATACTATTGTTACTAAATATACATAGGTGTCTACTTGATATCAAATGGGAATTTAACACATCATTTCCTTAAGCTTGTTTAAAGTCAGTCAAATAACATCCATATCCCCTATATAGTGGTGGAAAAAAAGTTGGGTTTCTTACAATTTAAGGGGAACAGCTTTGGGTATCCAGTAGGACTTTCCTTATATGAAAAGAAATGTTCAGGTAGAAAGTTCACATCTATCTTTTTTTTTCTCATAAAAATAATTGCTGTCAATTTTGTTGGTTTAAGATTTAGGAACCAGAAAGTAAGCTTGTGTCAAAAAACCCGATGGCTTTTAGGAACCAGCCCAAATAACTCAATTCTATTACACAAGGGCATAATCTGTGAAAATGTTATACCAGGCTCCAAATGCTTATCCTCTACAGCAGAATACTATATTCTTTCATAGCTCTCATTCATTTCAGTGAGTCCCATGCAACAGAATTTTCTAATGAATGGTATCTTATTTACATTTTTTAAAATGTAGCTTGTTACATTTTACATAAAATATGTACCATGCATCAAGGTAAATGGTAGACCTTTTTTATCTACAAAATACATTATGATTTAATATTTCACACACCTTTGTGATGCTTTTTAAAATATGTTGCAAAGATTCGGTTTCCTCTTTCAGATCCTTCATTTCTTCTAGATCTCCAATTTTACTGGCTTCCTAGTGTTCAAAGACAAACAGTTGCTCAGAAATGGACATGGGGGGAAACAGAAAAACATGAATAGGCAAATCAATCTAGTATTGTGGCTCACTGTGATTATTATGCCCTTTTTGAGAATGCTTGTGGTGGTAAACATATGGGGTTTTGTTTGACAGAATGACAGAAAGTAGGGTTGGGGGGAGGTTTGTACCAATTTCTGAATGTCCACTTTTAAGGCAGAGATTGTCTTGTCTTTTTTTGTGTTCTGTTCCTTAAGCTTATCACTCAAAGTGGTCAATTCAGTAATCCTGTAAAATAAGAAACCAGGCACAGAAGATGTATTAGTCAGGAGGATTAATCAGTAACTCATAAAGGATGTGTTATTTATATCTTTGAGATCGTTATAACGAAACAAAAGTTCCAATTCACACATCATCTTAAAAAGGCTGGAGAAAAGAGCTGAAAGTGATTAGATCACAATATGCTGTGTAATCCAAGACCGCAGAATGATAAGAAAAAAGCAAATCCAGCAAGAAACTTTGTATTGTTGACACGAATGCTCAAGAGGAGCAAGGTCTGGAACCAGAGCTTGGAGACAATGAAAATAGCCTATATCCTCCATAGGCCTGGTTGCCTCTGGAGTGCAAACTAAAAAAGTCAGTCGTTCAAGCAGCATTCCAACATTTACTTTTTACTTTCTGCCTGATATATTACATGTATTAACAAAGAGCATAGGAGATTTCAAGGCTCTTGTTGATAATGCACATTCAGTGTCTTAGTGCATGTGTGTATGTGTGTGTGTCTGGTTTCCTGTGTCCTCAAGGTCAGGGTACATAAGTATGCTCATTTGTACCACTGGCTCTTCTGATCTCATTGCGCCTTCTGTCTCAACTAGATACCTAAAGTTGGACATTTATTATCATGTAAACTTTCATACAACTAACTATACTAAATCAGATGTATATAATATAGTCCTGCAAAGGGAGTTTTGCAGGTACACACAATTGTACTTTGATGTAGAAGTAAAATGCATATGATAGTTATGATAAAAAATGTTTTCAGTAATATGTGTGTTATTTTTTAAGATGTCATTACGATCTTTGTTGCTGGAGTTGTTAACAAAGTCAAGAAATCAGGATGTGACTTTCAAAGTGCCAGCCTCTAATATATTTATTTGCAGTTGCCTTGAGTCCCATAAAAATTCAACAGGGATAAGAAAGAGAATCCTGGAGGGCTAATTTATTGTCTGGGAAGTAGATGTTTTATGACTAGCTATACTCACTAAGACAGTCATTTTATAGGATAAAGTGTTCTCAAAATTCCAGCTGTGTCCCCAGACCCAAAAGGTTTCCTATCCCAGAATAGCCCTTTTAAATCTTCTTGTCCTTTAATAATCTGAAGAAATCTAGAAATCAAAGACACAGTAGTATTCTTCTCACTTGGAGTTTAGAACAGCCTTTTCTCCATCCCAAGAACTCTGTAGCTGAATCATCTCCCGGACTTTCTCCCGAAGCTGCTTCTCTAGCAAACAGGTAGAGCTATTCTCAGAAAGGCGCAAGTTGGAATCCAAATTGAGACAGGCAGTTTGGAGGCGGCGGGAAGCTCTTGCCATGTCCGTTCCTGCTTCAGCAAGTCCTCTGGGAATATGAGAATAATATCTTTGTTCACTCAGAATTCTATATACACCATTACCTAACATTTCCAGGTGGCACAGGAACAGCATGTCAGTGAATGTCAATAATTTGAATGGCAGATTTATTGTTTTATTTTCTGCAAAACTGGCAGGATGCAATGTACCGAGAAACCTGGTCCTTCTCTATTTAAATTAGAAATATATATTATAAGAACATTTTCCAGGTATATCAATTATATTACGCAAATGAGGGATACTGAAGCATTCAGAGCTATGTGGTGTCAACTTTCTCGACGTGAGCATAACTATTATTAAAGATAATCTGACATAAGGACAACCGTTTCCTAATATGAGGATAACCATCAGGTCACAAAGTATTATTTGAGATTTATTATTATTTGAAAGTTTCAAATAAATTTCCTAACTTTTACACACACACACACACACACACACACACACACACACACACACACACATACATACACACACACTTTGACCCCATCCGTTAAAAAAAAATAGGGCTCTGCCACAAGGGTATAAGCACATTGGTATCTGATGTTTCAGAGCATTCACCTGTCTGGTAATTTTCCACAGAACAATGAGAAACATTCTTATAGCAATGGTAAATTTAGACAACACTCACCTCTCCAGCGTTGTGCGAAGCTCTGCAAAGTTCCCACGGAGTGTGGCTGCTTGACGCCATAGCAGGAGAATCCCACTGTGTTCATTGCTGAGATAGGAATCATAGCTCTGAAAGAATAATGAAAAAAAAAACATGACTGGCACGCAGTACTTTTAACATTTTATTGATGGAGAATAGCTAAACGGGTCACCCATACTATTAATGATTACTGGTTTAAAGCAAACTTCTACAATACTACAGAATTCTTTGTGAGACTTATGAACTATTGGAAATGTAATACAAGCAAATTACTGATTACTGATTATTTATCAACATTTTCCTGAAAGCCCTGGAAAGGGAAACATGGCAAAGTACAGGTGGTCTCAACATGATCACAATTGAGCCCAACATTTATGTTGCTAAGTAAGAAATTTGTTAAGTGAGTTTTGCCCCATTTTTACAACTTTTGTTGCCGCATTTGTTAAGTGAATTACTGCAGTTGTCATGTTAGTAACATGGATGTTAAGTGAACCTGGTTTCCCAATTAACTTTGCTTGTCAGAAGATTGCAAAATGTGATCACATGACCTCAGGACACTGCAACTGTCATAAATATGAACCAATTGTCTAGTATCCGAAATGTAAATCACGTGACCATGGAGGTGCTGCAATGGTCATAAGTGTGAAAAACAGCCATAACTCACTATTTTCGGTGCCATTGTAAATTTGAATGATCACAAATGAACATTATAAATCAAGGGCTACCTATATTATGAACTTCAGAAAATAGCAGGATCAAAAATGCATTACTTGGTTTCTTGTCATTAATTATTTTATTATCTTGGAAGAGTATAAGTGAAAAAGATATAAGTAATGAAGAAAAATATAAGAAAAAAATACATTATTTATAAGTGCTAAGTAACATTTTGTTTCAATTGAGCCCAAAATTTAACTTTTGTTAAACGAGACATTTGTTAAGTGAGCTTTGCCCCATTTTACGACCTTTCATGTCATAGTTAAGTTGTTAAATTAGTAACAAAGTTGTTGATTGAATCTGGCTGGCTTCTCCATTGACTTTGCCTGGGACGCTGCAAATGGCTTAAATTATTTCAAATAATGTCAAAAATTAACATGGAATCAAAATGATCAAGATTATTGTTCAGAGAGGAGGAACTCAGATTTGGGTAGAATATAGTAAAAAACCCAAATCCTATCAACCTAGTTAGTGCCGGAAAGAGAAATATTATTCTCCAAAAATGTACACATGGCAAAATTCATATTGTGATCTGATACTTCTAAGATTTATGAACCAATGCCAAATAATCAGAGAGCCAAAAAATATAATTCTAATAATACAACTCTTATATAAACAATAACAGACATGTTGTGCCAACAAAAAAAGTGGTAATAAAAGCTAAGCATTTTACTACATAGTAGACAAAGTACTTGTAGGCAACATACTGCAAAAAATAGGAAAGTATCTTCCATTGAAGAAATAACAATTGCCCATAACTTTTCTCTGCCTGTCTAATTTGGCAAACATATAAATAATAGTTTCTTTGAAATCAGAGGAATAGTTGTCTTCTCCATTTATATGGATTCTCTCTTTGCCTTCTTATTTTTCAGAAATATATGCTTTTGTTGCATAAATCTATGAAATCTATGGGTCCAGCATTAGACTAAACAGTTGAACAAAATTGTATACATATAAAAACAATTCCATAGTAAAATTATGAATTTGGAATAACCTATAAAAATTCATGAACTTGTTGATTTCACCAAATTCACAAATACTACAATATTTCCAATAAATTTGTGAGTTCATTTGACCATTCTGAGAGATGAGTCAGTTATTTGTTGGACTAAAGCCTATTCTATATTTTTCTAAACAAAAGTTCTATATTCAGTGAGTTTAACTAAATATAAAATGGATTTGTGTTACATGCTAAATTGAAACTATAACTATTCCAAAATTTCACTGAAAAAAGAGAGAAATACATGAAAAGGGAAACAACAAAATAATAGTGAGGACAAAATTAGGTATGATTACAATTATGCTATTAATAGTCGTGCAATTCATGTTAAAGCTGAAACAAAGTGGAGGAACAATTCTTAATCCAGATTAGAATTAGATTGGGAAAAAACATGTTTGTAATCCTCTGTTTAAGCCCTTCCAAATAACTCCCACCTCCAAATTTTACTTTGCACATAGTGCAGAAGGCTTCAATTAGCATGGTGAGATTACTGGAGATGAGAGTATACAGGCTGCAGCATTTCTCAAAGCAATGGAACTGGATAAATATTATAGTTAATATTATATTCTTCTATAATTGAAAACTGTCTCCTGGGTGTAGTGGTATCAGAAAGGCTGAGTTTAATTAACTCCATATGCCTCTTACCTTGTCCCCTCCCCCAACAGCAAGAGTAAGATAAGGAAAGTGGAGAGTGAATCCTGGGACTAAATGAATTTATAAACAGTTGACCGACCTTGAATATTAAATTGATTAAAATCACCAAATAAATAAATGCACAAAGAAAAATATAAACAAATTACCGTGGTGCATTATCATAATGTAACATGGAACAAATAGATAGTGTAGTAAGTCATTCCCTCCCACCCAAAATCAAGTAATACTTCCTGCCTTTGTACCAAAGAAATACCTTCTGTTCTAGTTCACTTCTCAGCCTGTGCATATCAGTAGCATTCCTCTCTAGCTCCCCAACTAGTCTCTGTTTCGAGCATTTCACCTCTTCTAGCTGTTCCTGAAGTAGAGTGTTCATCTGGGAAAGGGTAGCACTCCTACAGGAAAACAAAACGAAAGGCACAATAGTACTATAGGTAATCCTCAAAGTATAACCACAATTGAGCCCAGAATTTATGTTGCTAAGTGAAATATTTGTTAAGTGAATGTTGTCCCATTTTACGAGGTTTCTTGCCACCGTTAACTGAATCACTGCAATTGTTAAGTTAGTAACACAGTTGTTAAGTGAATCATTGACTTTGCTTATCAGAAGATCACAAAAGATGCTCACATGATCCCAGGACACTGCAATTGTCATAAATGTGAACTAGTTGCCAAGCATCCGAATTTTGATCATATTACCATGGGGATGCTGTGTGAAAAATGGTCATAAGTTACTTTTTTCAGTGCATTGAATTATTGTAAGTCGATCAAACTCAGCTCAAACTTTGATCAAACTCATTTTTGCTAATCCTTATGAAGAAATCCTAAATCCTCACTTTCTTCTGAAGGCTTTGTAGATTTTTCTCTTCTGAATGTTTCATAGCAGTTGCTGAATTCCAACAGTATAGGATGTATGCTTCTTGCTTCTGACTGAAACCCTGGGCTTGCTTCTTTGCTAGACTGCCTTCCATAAAGAAAATTGTTTTCTTTTTCAAGCCTGCTGTAGATCCACCACTGTTTGTGCTGATAATTTTTTTTACTTCTTTCAGGAGAAATAAAATTGAATTCTTAAAGTAGGATATTTTACAACTTTCCTTGACTCATTTCTATGCAACATCTCTAATGTTGAACATAATATACACTAATACGTGTGATGACCTCTGTTAAATTAAATGTAGTGTGTCCATTTACTGCTCTAATCCTTTGACAATTTCCTCAAACCCACTAGAAGCCTGCACACATTGCAAGTGGGAATACAAACATCCCAGAATTGCTGTGAGTCATGAACAGTAATTCAGCTGCTTAAGCAAGAAGAGTTCTTATAGCACAATCCTTGCAACCAGCAACAACTCAGATGTTGACAGGTTCATCTTTCACAGCAGATCACACAATCCCTCACAATTACTGCAGGCTTGTAAACATTCGAGATATATAACTACCATAAACAAATGCTGAAAATGCATAAATAATTACATCTAATGCTTTTCTTGTTATTAATTTTGCTTCAAAGAGAGATGGATGGTAAACAAATGAAATAAATAAATGCCTTTTCCTCTCTTTTTGTTCAGCTCCCTTGCCAACTTTCTCCTGTAGAATTTCCTATTTGTTTACACAATAATGTGTTTAGAACACAATGTGTTTAAGGCTAATTGAGGCAATCCTATATCAGCTTCAGTCTTTTAGTCATTCCTACCTAGAAGACCTGTCTGCCTGCACAGTTCCTTCAACATTAATGCTTTTATTTCTCTCTTTATTTAATGATTAGCCCTACCTTGGGCCATATCAAAGTGCAAAGTTCCAGATACAAATTATTACTAAAATTTGATAAAAGCTATTTAAAATGTAATTGTGTAAAATACAATTTAAAATCAAATTGGAATAAAATACAGTCTAAAATGAAATTGGAATAGAATACAATAATTTAAGATATAGATAAAGTATGTTAAAATTATATTTTGGTATCACCACTGCTTTATATTTAGTGGGTATTACCAGATGATCATGTGTATAATAATTTTTTATTTTAACAATTTTATCTATTGTTCCACTGGTGAAATTACTTCTGAACTTTATGAGATTTTTTTTTAAAAAAATCCTGGACACTTAACAATTCAATTATATAGCAAATAGCAAGATTCTCACTCTGGGGTAATTTCAGTTTCTCTAGTGGGTTGTTCTAAGACAGAGAAATCCCTCTGTCATGTTCATATAATCCCATTATATTCTCATTAGTTGCCTAGGTTGACACTGACGACAACCACTTTATTTTTTTACATGGGCTTCTGTTATTTCTTCTTTCCCTTTTGCAGTAGTATCAATGCTCTCTGGGTCTCATTTCTGTTTATATATTGTCCTGTGTATTATTCCATATTTGGTAACTCCCTAGAGTGGAAGTTTATGTTTTATTTCTCAGGTCAGTATTTGACTGAAAAATATGAAGGGGAGTATTCTAAAGCCAAATGGCATCTCAATTTTAGAAGCTTCTTTATTTTCTTGCAAGTATCAAAGTCCTTGAATTATAAAGCATCATTCTAAGCATGGTAATTCAGTGCTGATAGGAAACTGCTCTCACTTTTTGGATGGATAATTACCAGGGGTCCTCCAAACGCTTTCTGAACCTGCATCCCCTCGCCCTTATTTTCTTAGTCCCAGCTAGTTTGTTGCAAAAACCAGTTAATGGGCATGTTTTTGCAAAATTGATTTTGCTTAAGATGATAGAAAATCCACAGACACCCAACATAATATCTTGGATCCTAAAATTCCTGGAATGGAATTTCTGATCAAGGTATGATCTGTGTTGTTTAGAAGAGGAAGAGGTAAAGCTGTTAACTGAGAAAGAACCTTCCTAATTATGATGCGTAGTCCCATTCAGGAGAGCTATGGAAAGCTGAGGATTACATGTGATCAGCAGTAAGAAGGCTTAAAGTACAAGAAATGGAACCTAGATCTCTCAGATCTAAATCAGAGGTTAAAGCCTTGCTCGTTTTTGCAATAATATGTCACAGAAAGGATTTTGCTAACATCCCATAAAATTTCAGCAGCCTATAGTTATACATTTCAGTTTAAAGCAACTAATTATCCTTCCCTGAGTTGGGATCTTCCAAACAAATAATTTGATTCCTGAAAAACACCAGTTACCTCTGCTGCTCTTTTTCTAGGTGGATGAGAGTGTTCTCCAACTCTGTATTATGGTCATGTCCAATGCGTCGTAAACGTAATTCTGTTGAGTCTAATCTTGATTGCAGCTAGAAAGAAGAAAAGATGTCAGACTTCACTATAATAGTAATTAAGGTACATAAAGATTCATTAGCAGATTTAGGTTATGCATGCAATTGCAGGTACAATTTGCTTACTTAAAATCCTGAAACTTTTCTTTACAGATAGGAACTTCTAGATTTGAGAGGAAAGGTATGTTATAAAATGCCATCAAATGGCAAATTCTAGAAATGATGTGTGTTCTGAGTTGAATTTGAAGAAGTCAAAGCCTTCAATTTGCATAACTCTGTATGTTACCTCACTGATACGATTCTCCAATGACTACCATAGTTAGAAATTCCACAAAGAGGCAGATTTCTGAAAAAACTTTCTCACTTCCATAACACTTGCTTTTACTTCTCTTTTGTTTTCCTCTTTCAGTATGTTTTGATCTTGTTTTCGTCTTTTTGGGGGGGGGGCAGTTTTAAGATTTTTCCTTTAATCTGTTCAACTCCCCATTGATGCTTGGGCAATTTTAACATCCAGATTAGACAGCCTTTTTATTTGGTGCATTTGCTCCCAATATCAAACAATTTAGATATTTCTTTCCCTCAAATTTTATTTTTATAGAAAAAATTCTATGGCCATTCTAAAACCATCTCTTGCAACTATAATATAATATAACTCAGAAAAAAAGCCTCAATCAGGTATATATTTTTCCAGGTCACCAAAGAAGCCTTAACAGAGGTTAAAACATCCTTGCTTATTAATTCCATATGCTTCTTTGTTCAGATTCTGTAAAGTTTTGCAGTGTTTCAGAAACACTGTAACTTGTTTAGCTGAATTTAAAAAAAAAACTGTCTACAACCTGGATGACTTCCAGATACATGGACAATATATCATAGCAAATGCTAAAAATTCTAGAACTTGAAATCCAAGATAGATAGAACACCCAGGTTGGGAAGCTATTAAACACCACCCGAGATAGTGCCTCTAGGATGAACAATAAGGACTTAGAGTACTAAGATTAATTTGGCTGTTATTTTCAGGTACCTGCTATATATCATATAGAGTTGCTAGGATAACTGTCTGCAGAGAGCTAAAAATACAGGTTTGGACTTCACAAGGTTTTTATTTATTAATTGCTGCATTAACATCCAAGCCTATAAATGTAGAAAGCTGAATACTTGAGAGTTCTGTATAATCTCTGCCTGTCTGCTGGCTGCTACAATGCCATTTTCTACAGATATTAATGTTTTTTTGGCAAAATGTCAGCAGCTTAGAAACCTTCACAAGTATTCCAATGGCTAACAACACGGGGTCACAGGGCAAACTTCCCTACACTTTGTCTTTTAAAAGAATATGATTTTAGTCTATAATTTGTGCTGAACTTTTAAAGTTTTAACGGTTTATTTTATATACTTCATACTGTAACTGTATGAAAACCAACCAGAGAACTTCTATGGGGTACCACATACACGCATTAAAAAATTATTTTTTCTTGCTTAACTAGTTTAGCCTTAAATTATCATTGCTGCTGGCTGAGTAAAAGATTTGCCTCATAATAAAGAACTCAGCTAGCTTTCTTTAATCAAAACTATACATTACTGGAAGAAACGACTGGACATTCATGAAACCTGTGGGAATCTTGAAATGATATGAATTATATAACAAATATGTGTATCAGATATGATTTTTGGCTGGCTAGGCTATTGTCCAAACATTCACTCCACTGAATTGAATATGGCATTGTAGAACAGGGTTATGCACAATGTTAAGAGTCTAAGTGCCCTATGCCAGTGGTCCAGGGGTGGGTTCCGGCAGCCACTACTCCTGGTTCGCTCATGGATATGCAGCTCATACATGCACAGTACTATAAAAATGCTTCTGTGCATGTACAGAAGCCAAAAACAAGATGGCGGCACCGGGAGAACTGGTTCGGGATGTGGCAGGCCTGGGCCATTGTCAGTTCCAGCAACCCAGGCCGCCAAACCACTAACGGTTTGGCCGAACCAGTCCAAACCGGAAGGAACCCACCACTGCAGTGGTCCCTAACCTTTGTGGCTCTGAGAATCAGCAGTAGTGGCAGCGGTGATAGGGTAGGAGAGGGAATGGTTTCATATATATACTCGCTGCTTGTGCAAGTGGAGCTTTGTCCGCTTGCCCACCGATTGCGCTGCCCAGTTCCCAATGGGCTGCGGACCAGGGATTGGGGACCCCTGCCATATGCTTTATCATTAATGGGGGGAAAACCCTCACATAAAATACAGACCATCTGTTTCTGACGCTCACACTCAGAGGTTTTCTCCAGTAATTCCTGTTCCAGTTCTCCACATCTTTTCTTATATTGCAATACCTATACCATGATGGAGAAAAAAGATTTAGGTAATCGGGCTATTCAAGAAAAAAAGAAAGAACAAAGAAAAGAGGAGCTCATGGAAGATGATTTAACTAAAATAAAAGTAGAAGTTTGATCCAGGAGGTCAGGGTTGTGCATCTTGCGATTCCAAGTCAACCAGATCTTTCCAAAAATTATAATTTTTAAAAGATACTATGAAATACATAGGGAATAAATATATTTTAATTGCAATTTGCAATTAATTTTACATTTAAACACAATCAAATCCAGGGTATATTTTCCCCCTTCTGGCTCCACCATACATGGACAGCAGCAAGACTTGAAATCAGATCTGTTAGCCCAGCCCTAATTTCTCAAGCAGTTTAAAGGACAATATATTCATCTTTATATGAAAACTTCCCTGGATTGGTACTAAGTCATTTATTTGAGGTATTGTAGGTCTTTGTGGGGAGTGGGGAAGATGGGGAAGACAAATATATAAAATGTAGATTGTGATAAGAACCAGGTCGAATTAAAAGTAAGAAGAAAAGCAGAAATCTGACAAAACTAAAGTGGGAGAAGACAAGGAATATGATATGGGAAGGAAACCTTTAAAAATGTCAAAAAGAAAAACACTTTTTGGCTGTGTAGTACAGATTTTAAAAAGTAAAGATTTAGGAGGGGGGAAATCCACAAGTGTGGATATTAAGCAGAAGATGCAATAGGGAAGAGCTTTAACTTTCAGCAATATGACCCCCTAAATATTAGAAACTAGTCTTTTTCAAAGATCTTTCCTCACTCTATATCGTACGGCGTACAGATTTTGAACAAACATCTTGTGCATACAGGAATTGATTGAACACAAATGAAGAAAATTAGCTTGGGAAGGCTGTTTCTTCCTTCCTCTACAAAATTTTGCAGAGATGAAAGGAAGGCTTTCATAAGATCCAAACATCTAGTTAGCATTCAGACAGACTAAATACTCTGCTAAGGCATAATGTGGGGTGGGGTTTTTGGTTTGGATTTCTTTTAGCATGTTGTGTAAATTCCTATGGAAACTACTTCCAAATAAACCCCAAACTGATCTTTTGGTTTAATGGACTGGTACTATAACTGACCAATGCTGGTACCTGGTTTCTTTAATTCTTATCTGAAAGCCTACAAAGAGCTTTTTAGATAGAAAATATGTTTCCCCCTCATAATAGCTGTTGTACATCTTAAAAACCACCCATATGACAATTGAAAGCTACTATTTGCACACATCTATCTAGATTCCATTAGATAGGCAAATTATTTATTTAAATCATCTTTCCTCAACTTGGTGTCCATAAAACACATTACATTTCCATTATCATAATTTCTGAAATAGCATAGTTCATGGGTTTTCAATCTTTTTTTCACCACAGACCCCCTTTAAATATCTTTTGTGGCCACAGACGATGATTAAAATCATAACATTTCTTCAAGTCTTTACGGAACCCCTGTGATAACATTGCGCCCCCTCAGGGGTCAGTGGACCACAGATTGAGAACCACTGGAATAGTTTACAGGTTAAAGAGTACTTCAAATTCTGAAGGGGACTTTCAGGAGCAAGGAATCAGGACAATGTGTTAAGTTTCAGTTAAGATTTAGATTTAGATTTTATTCAGTTTGTATGCTGCCCTATTCCTGAGAGACTCAGGGCGGCTAACAATCAGAAAGGGGAAGGGGGGGTACAAAATAAAAATAAAAAGACGAACAGTTTAAAAACACACAAC